TTATTCATAGGGCAAAAAAAAATTGTAGTAGTGATGACCTAAAGTTAGGCACCTAAATCTATATAAATGTGGACTGGTTTTCAGAGGTGTTGATCATCTATGGTTCAGAGATGCTCCGCATCTTCTGAAAATCTGGTCATTTTGATTTAAGTGCCTAAATATGGATTTCAATGCCTGGGTTTTGGCACTCAAGCTCAATAGTTTTGTCTGTTAGCTGTAGTTGGCTCTTTACTTGTATGGTAGTTTACATCTTATTGCATTGTCTAGACCATGCATTAAATGAATTAGATTTTAAACTCTTTAGGATTGAGAGTGTATCTTTCTGTATGTTTGTATAGTGTCTGCATACTGAGGCCCTCCTACTGTATTGTAATGCAAATAATGCAGTCTGAATAGAATACCAATAGGAATTAGTTTTCAAACCTGATTCTGTAGGATTTGCAAGACTCCTCCAACAAATCCATGAAGTTCACAATTGCTGCCCTTGGTCTGCTAGGAGACTTCTCAGCATGACAGATTGGGAGAAGCAGGGGACAAAAAAATCCCTTGCTCTGGTTACCTTTTATGCTTCCTTCCCCTCTGCTGCTCCCTCTTCATTTCAAGCAGTTACTGCTCTCCTATGTTAATGATATTTCAAAACAATTCACACAGTATTCATTTCCACCTTAAATATAAGTCAACCATGATTTGACAATCTGAATAAGATGACTAAAGAAACAAACATAATCCAAATAAAATGTACACTGTGACACTGCTGGGTTTATTTTTTGGCACAAATGCTTTCATGAGTCTATTTCAATATTCAAAATGTAGTGATAATAAATAAAAAAAATGACAAATTGCTCAATTCCCCCATCCCACCCTTCAAGCAATGTAGCCACTTAATGCCTGTTGCACTAAAAGTGGTGCCTTCCCTTTATGCACAAACACTTCTCTGAGCTGAAGTAGAATCTCTTCCACTTTAAGACCCTATCTCTGTCTACGCTGAAATAAAAAACCTGCGGTACCAAGTCTCAAAGCCTAGGTCAATTGACTCAGGCTTGCAGGGCTTGGGCTGTGGAGCTAAAATGTACAGTGTAGATGTTTGGGCTCAGGCTGGCACATGAGCTATGAGACCTCTACCCTCACGGAGTTTCAGAGCCTGGGCTCCAGCCCAAATGTTTACACTGATTATTAGCCCCACAGCCTGAGGCCCTCAAGCCTGAGTCAACTGACCTGGGCCAGCTGCAACCATGCTGTGAGTCTTCTAATGCATGTAGACATATAAGTATCAGGGTCTGGGGCCCACTTTTAAAATGTCCTACTGTACTGACTTATTGCTTTATACCTGCCAGGTGCTTAAAATAAGTAAAGGAAGCAGACTTTGTTTTCCTTATCTTTCTGTTTCCAATCTTGGTAGGTGTCAGGAGACAGGAAATGGATAGAGAGTGAAGATGGCTGGCTCAGTTCAGGAAAGGTATAGCAAAAATAGAGACAGACATTCACTTAGTCAGGTGCCTCATAGGTTGTAGGTCAGGGGAGGTCAGTGTGGTCACATTCGTGGCCATGACTTTATCCTCATTTTACTCCTAGAGAGCATTTCCCTTCTCCCTGCTTCTGGCAAGAAAGAAACGTATAGCTCTGCATTTTAAGGAAAGGAAGCATCTCCATACATCCTCTTTCAGGTGGCTCTATTCTTGGAGACCTTTTGAAACAAATACATTCCTAAGAAATCTGCTCTGGACTTGTCTCAAATGCATGTACCCAGAGTATACATATGGTACAGTTTTATTTTCTTAATTAAAAGGAAAACAAAAGGTCACTCTAACTTGATGAGACTTACCCTGTCACACTTACTTCATCAAACTGTAACAAAAGTTCAGAAAGATGCTACAAGCCGTCAGTTGTCTCCCAGCAGAATTTGGATCTTTTGCAAGGAACAGAACTAAATGGCACAGTGTAGCTATGTTTTACAAGGTATCACATGTCATAGCTGAGAGTAGTGGGTAATTGGCTGTCTTAGACTTAGGCAGGATGTATTCACCTATACTAAGAAAGTGAGGAGACTTAGAATATAAACTCTACTTTAAATTTTTTTGTTTTGTTTTGCTTCAGCTATAATGCTGTGGTCCAAGGCCACCTCCAAGGCTTCCCTGTCCCCAAGTCAAATGGCCTCAGTCAGATCATTATCAGGATGTGTGTTGCAGTCTTCAGTATTTTAAAAAGCCAATTTCTATATCTTCAGCAGTAATACAGAGAATAGTCATCTGCACTGCAACTCTTACACAAGTTTTTCTTTTAAAATGGCTAACAAAGGCCTCAGCATACACTCTTGTGCATATTCTTGCTATAAAGTGACATTACATGACACCTGACTTGATGTATATCTAAAAGAATCTCTATATGCAACATACGTACTGGCAGTATCATCTTCCAGGAGACAAGCTGCTGGAATGGGAGTCGCATCTAGCTCTGCAACCAACATGCGTTACCGTGGGCAAGTCGCTCTATTTCTCTTGCACAGTTTGTCTTATCTGCTTAGACAGTAAGCTCTTTAGGATAGGGCCCACTGCAATGCGGCACCAAATTTAGCTGGAGCTTCTGAGTGCTATATTAATATATATGATGAATAATACCAGTGTATCTTGAATAGTTGAGTATAGTATCTTTTTTTCTCTAGGACTGGTAGGGGCTTCTTTGCTACGTTGTTCCAAACTCCTATGACCTTTGCAGAGACAGGAATCATTCCAATGCATAGATCCAGTCCCAACAACTTCAGAGACAGAAGCTGTATGTCATTGGGGAAAAAAAAGTTAATGAGTCTGACACAAATCCAAGTCGGTTTTAAGGAACTAACTCCATCACTAACAAACAATCTCAACTACCCCTCAGGCATTATTCCCTTCTGTTAAGGTGCCTCTTTCCCATTGTATTGTTAAATGGCAATTCTTACCTGCCATGCAGGCTCACAGTGACCTTGCATTCAGGCTGCTCTCCTGGCCTATGTCCCCTGGAAGGCTCCATTTGGATTTGCTGTCTCTTAGCCTAGGCACATGTTGCTACTACTGCAGCAATGTTGTCTTTTCTTGTGGCACTGGCTGCATGAGTGGTTGGGATTTCCTGCTGGCTGTCTAGCTAATACTCAAGTGGAGGAATGGAGTTCCAGAGTGGAGTTGGCCTTCAGTGCACTGCTGCTGATGCATGGATCAGATGCTCACCAATAAGCCCTTCACTGGTTAAGTGAGATGAGATTCAGAGAAGGGTGAAGCAAATGTTTAAGGGATGCAGGATTGCCTCATGAAGGAAAGCTTTAAAAGGAGCCAAATACATTTAGCTCATTTAAATTACAACATAAGGTAGTACAAAGACATGATAACTTGGTGTGTAAAGCTCAGAGAACCAGATAAGTTATGCACACTAGTATGATAAAAGGGTATCTAGCTACACTGGGAGAAAATGTAATAAAAGACTTTTTTAAGTGGAATATCAAGAACAACTTTATAATGTTGAGATCTCTGTGTCATGGAGTTCCCAGGGAAGTGAGACACGTAGTGAAACACAATTTGTCTAGTTCAGAGTTGTCTCAAGCTACTAGAAAATATATACACTAGGGAAGAAACTCTGTACTGGTGGGAGATCTTAATGAAATGACCTACAGTTTGTTCTCTACCTTTCAATGATTTTAAAATAGCTTTTGGATTAAAATACTCTGCCCAGAACAAACAAAACTCAAGCTAATAAAAATAAAGAGCTCAGTTTCAGATTTTGCCATTTTACTGGACTTCAGAAGATCTAAAAGACAGTTTTTTATATGCATATTTCTCCTACACCTCCTTCATATGTTGACCAGTCTATCAGTTTTATAATTAAACTCGAAACACTTACGATAATTCAGGGATAATGTTGAGGTTCTAATACCACAATGAAGTTAATGAGAGGCCAGGCTGTTGCCAGGTGTCTTCTATATTTTTCATTGCTTATTTTTGTTATCTCTTTAAAAATGGAAAAGTAAAAATAAAGGCAAATGCAAAATATAGTGCTGTATTAATTTAGTTTCAAGGTTCCGTTATAACTGCATGCAAATCAAGAAATTCAGAAATGTTTCCTGAATACCTGAAACTCTTCCATGTTTTTTTAATTGGAGCAGTAGGTGCACAGCACTTCAGAGAGTAAGGCAATAGCAAGTTTCATCAATTCCATCTAATTTGGCTGTAGTTTGGATTTGGGATTCATCTTTTGTCTGGGTGCAAGGATGAGCAATTTCAACTCAAACCTTCTCTTCTTCCAAAAAGCTATATGGTATTTAAATAATACACATTTCCCTATTTTTCAGAAGCATGGATCTTTACTGAAATTTTCAAGTCAACAACTCCTCATTGCTGAAGATCACCAGAAAATTACAAATTTTATATAAAGAATATAATACAATAGGAAGAAACTTGGAAGTTGTAAGGATAGAAGATGAGCAAATAAATCTGTTCACTTGTGCTATGTCCCCTCCTACAATATTTTGAACTACTCTCTAGTTGCTCATAGACCCTGGGAATCTTTCACATGTATCACTTTTGTTCAGGTGCATGTTTTTAATTCTACTTCCATTCCCTTGTGTGTCAATCCCTTTTTTAGGTTCTTGCTTGTCAAAATTCAAACAGTCTTGTGGCATCCATCCTTTCTATTCCCTACAGAATTGTGTACATCTCAAATTAGCTCACCTCTCTTTGTCTAATTTCTTCCAACAAATTCAGACCTGGTTTCACTAACCTTTCTGGATAGCTACATTCTCAGGGTCCTTGAATTATACCATTAGTTATCTGCAGCACCATCCTTGTCTCATATTAATGTGAAGATCCAGCTACTAGAAGGGGACAAGGAAGCGTTCTGCTTTTGTTGGATTTCATGTTACACTTTTAGTCATAAGGTGTGGAGATTAATAAGTTGTCTGGGCTGATTTAACCAATGCTTTGCAATTTTAAATGTATGGGCACTTTAGCTTTCCCTTTTTATACTCCTTGTTTTTGCAGGTAATTAAAGTATACAGTGAGGATGACACTAGCAGAGCTTTGGAAGTGCCAGGTGATGTAACAGCCAGAGATGTATGCCAGCTGTTAATACTGAAGAATCATTACATAGATGACCACAGCTGGACACTGTTTGAACACCTTCCTCGCATAGGTCTAGGTAAGATTGCCTTGTTCATGGCATAAAGAAGGTGGTATCACTGTGTGTGTGGTTTTTGTTTTTATTTTTTTAAATATGTAGGAAGGCTAGGAAGCTATTAAAACTCATTCTTCTGTTTCCCCATGTTTTTTTCTGGTGCATAGTCATAAGGCATGCTCTTTCACTGTTCCCAAATTACTTGGTCTGAATCTGAAGCAGGGGTCTCTAGGACATAGATTCTTAACACTTATGATAAATGGCTTTTAGTTCTTTCTTGCTTTTTTTGGACAGTTTTCCCCCTTTTACTTTCTTGACTTGCTCCTGTTTACCTCTAGCAAAAGAGCTGGGCCAGTATTCCAGTGCAAATGGTAGCTGTGCCACGCCAACACAACCAGCTGAAATTTTTGAGAGGGCATTGTCAATGAATATCTCATACAAAGGACAGAAGAGCTGTCATATTTCATACTTTTGTGTGGACAGTGGGAGTCTATCCCTCTAAATTACATCTTGTTCTACTGAAGTAGACTTGTCAACATCCTACCGCAATACAGTCAATTAGCTTGGTGAGGTTTTGATTTAAACTCCAGAGAAATTGACCTATATTATTTAAACGCCCCCCATCTACATATTTAAATACAAAAGAAGCCTACATAAAAACAACTAAGTTTAAGATTTTAAGCCCACAAAAATCAAGACATTCATACTTCTGCTTCAACAACTATATTTGCCCTGTTGATATTATGTGTTGCCATATAAAGTATAAATGTTTCTACCTTTACATTTATGTGTAATGTGACTGATACCAAGTTTTGTGTGTTTCAGATAACCACTGTAATGTTATGTTGTTGTAGTGGTCTCACTTCCTGATTTCAGTGTATACATAGTTTAAAAACTCTGCAATAAAAAAGTAAAGTAAGGCATATCAAGTATTAGACATGTTAAAAATATGTAACACAGTAAAGATTTTGCCAAAGACATCAACTTAAAAGTTACTTTACTCACAGTCTAAATACCATTTTCAGTATAAAAAGTAGGACAATACCTTCGCATATTAGATCTTGTGATTTTTTTTTTTGAGAGAGCTATAATGGAGAAATCTACTATAAATCAAGTCATAAAACTATTATAATTTCAAACAACTCAGTTACCCCCCATCAGCAGATATGAAATCACCTGGATTCAATTTGTAACTAAAAGAATGGTCAGTATTGCTTTGCCATCACTGTGTTTTGTGCTGATTTCTCGTTGCTCCAGAAAGTCTGGCCCAAGCATAGAAGATTAGGGTTGGAAGAGACCTTAGGAGGTCATCTAGTCCAACCCCCTGCTCAAAGCAGGACCAACACCATCTAAATCATCCCAGCCAGGGCTTTGTAAAGCCGGGCCTTAAAAACCTCTAAGGATGGAGAGTCCACCACCTCACTAGGTAACCCATTCCAGTGCTTCTCGACCTGCATAGTGAAATAGTGTTTCCTAATATCCAACCTAGACCACCGCCACTGCAACTTGAGACCATTGCTCCTTGTTCTGTCATCTGCCACTACGGAGAACAGCTGAGCTCCATCCTCTTTGGAACCCCTTTTCAGGTAGTTGAAAGCTGCTATCAAATCCCCCTCACTCTTCTCTTCTGCAGACTAAACAAACCCAGTTCCCTCAGTCTCTCCTTGTAAATCATGTGCCCCAGCCCCTTGATCATTTTCGTTGCTCTCCGCTGGACTCTCTCCAATTTGTCCACATCCTTTCTGTAGTGGGGGCCCCAAAACTGGACGCAATATTCCAGATGTGGCCTCACAAGTGCCAAATAGAGGGAAATAATCACTTCCCTCAATCTGCTGGCAATGCTCCTACTAATGCAGCCCAATATGCCGTTAGCCTTCTTGGCAACAAGGGCACACTGCTGACTCTCATCCAGCTTCTCATCCACTGTAATCCCCAGGTCCTTTTCTGCAGAACTGCTGCTTAGCCAGTCAGTACCCAGCCTGTAGCGGTGCATGGGATTCTTCCATCCTAAGTGCAGGACTCTGCACTTGTCCTTGTTGAACCTCATGAGATTCCTTTTGGCTCAATCCTCTAATTTGTCTAGGTCACTCTGGATCCTTCTCCCTACCCTCCAGCATATCTATCTCTCTCCTGAGCTTAGTGTCATCTGTGAACAATGTGTGTTTATGTAAAATGATATCCAACTGTGCAGCTTAGAGTGTATCGTTACGTGGCCTTTTGGTCTCTTTGTGGGTTAGCATAAGCAGGCAGAGTCCCTGGAATGATGACACAGTCACAAACTCAGTAACAATACAATGTGTGTTTAGTATTGGAAGAGAGAACAAAAGCAGCTCCCTTCCGGCTTTTGGTATTGCTGATTTCAAGCCCTTTTTCTTTGCCCTTCAGGAAGCATACCCTCTCACCATACTGTCAGGGGTCTTTCCCCTCTCAGAGGAGCCACACGTTGTATAGGCTGCCTGTGCACATGCCCCGCACACTGTAGGGCCTAGGAAGTGGACCTCTTGTGTGGACTGGTCCAGCTTGAGGTTGATGGTAGGGTGGAATTCCTTGAGGGCCTCCTTTCCATGGGTCCAGATGATAAAGATGTATCCGCATGGCCCCTCAGTATGCCAACATTTTTATGCCTGACTTAGAACAATTCTTCCTCAGCTCTTGTCCCCTCACACTCCTGCTCTACTTGCACTACACTGATGACATCTTCATCATCTGGACCCATGGAAAGGAGGCCCTCGAGGAATTTCACCAAGATTTCAATGATTTCCACCCTACCATCAACCTCAGCCTGGACCAGTCCACACAAGAGGTCCACTTCCTAGGCACTACAGTGCTAATAAGTGATGGTCACATAAACACCACCCTATATCGGAAACCTACTGACCGCTATATTTACCTACATGCCCCCAGCTTTCATCCAGACCACATCACATGATCCATGGTCTACAGCTAAGCTCGAAGATACAACTGCATTTGCTGCAATCCCTCAGACAGAGACAAACACCTACAGAATTTCTATCAACCGTTCTTAAAACTGCAGTACGCACCTGGTGAAGTGAAGAAACAGACTGACAGAGCCAGAAGGGTACCGAGAAGTCACCTACTCCAGGACAGGCTCAATAAAGAAAGTAACAGAATGCCACTAGCCGTCACCTACAGCACCTAAAACCTCTCCAGCGCATCATCAAGGATCTACAACCTATCCTGAAGGATGATCCCTCACTCTCACAGACCTTGGGAGATGGTCCAGTCCTTGCTTACAGACAGCCCCCCAACCTGAAGCAAATACTCACCAGCAACTGTACACCACACAAGAAAAACACCAACCCAGGAACCAAACCCTGCTACAAACCCCAGTGCTAACTCTGTCCACATCTATTCAAGGGACACCATCATAGGATCTAACCACATCAGCCACACCATCAAGGACTCGTTCACCTGCACGTCTACCAATGTGATATATGCCATCATGTGCCAGCAATGCCCCTGTGCCATGTACATTGGCCAAACCGGACAGTCGCTACGCAAAAGAATAAATGGACACACATCTGACATCAGGAATCCATAAAATTCAAAAACCAGTAGGAGAACACTTCAGTCTCTCTGGTCACTCAATAACAGACCTCAAAGTGGCAATTCTTCAACAAAAAAAACTTCAAAAACAGACTCCAACGTGAAGCTGCAGACCTGGAATTAATTTGCCAACTGGATACCATCAGATTAGGCCTGAATAGAGACTGGGAGTGGTTGGGTTATTACAAAACCTAAACTTAATTTTCCCCAGTACTAATTTCTCCCTACTGTTACTCTCACCTTCTTGTCAACTGTCTGTAATGGGCCACTCTCTTACCACTTCACAAGTTTTATTTTTCCTCCCTTGGTATCCTGCTGTTAATTGATTTAACTCATTAGACTGACCTCACACTTGGTAAAGCACCCCCCAACCTTTCATGTATTTATACCTGCTCCTGTATTTCCATTCCATGCATCCGATGAAGTGGGTTCTAGCCCACAGAAGCTTATGCCCAAATAAATTTGTTAGTCTCTAAGGTGCCACAAGGACTCCTTGTTGTTTATACCGTGTTATGTTTAACAGCAGTATTTTAAAGATGAACTACAAAGCTAAAATTGTTTTTACCCTTTACTGCTCTTTTATGGTTTATAAAGACAGCCACAAATATTTTTGAAAAAGTTTTCTCCTTTGTAGCATTTCAAAGATATTTATAACTTTTTTACCCTGAGTGCATCAGTTGTAAGATGCTTCTAGCTCAGAGAATAAGGTCAGAGTTAAAACTGGGTCAGGACTGTACACTGACTAAATGTGCTATTGGGAGAAGGCTAGGGATACTATTGTCTAAAGCTATTATACAAATAATAGAAGTATTTTCTCTCTTTATCAGTAAGACTGGTGTTTAAAATAGAGAAGAAAGTTAGTTAGTAAAAAGCATTAAGGAAAACAAAATGAACTATAAACCTGAAGAAGTGACACTGCAATGGTTCATGGTCCAGTCTGTCTCAGTTATTGATACAATACATATTTTGTCATGTAATTGGACCGCTTCAATCCAAATGACAGTAGTTGTTGCTGAAATATCAATCTTTTAGTTGTCACTTTTCTTAAGATACTAGTCCCTTGTTCAAATATGGGAATTTTTAAACCTCTATGAAGTACTATGTTGAGACCTGTCCACTCCTTCTAGAGAACAAGATTGAGACCATCAAGTTGTTTCACTTAGGCATACAAACTCTTCCAGTAGTAACTACTGAGCTCACTATTGAGCTCTGCTGAATATGAACCAGCACTAAGGCACTGCATTCCCTAACCAATTCTCTGAGATGTCTGTTTCTCCTTCAGGTGTAATTTTAGTAAGAGACTATATTTCCCTTTTTTAGTCAGTCTGCCTTCTTCGGGCTGATGCTGGAGACTAATGAGGTACCAGTAGGTATGGAGATTAATTCTCTTTCAGGATGCCTCCTCCTTCTGTAATACTTAAACATTAGAGTTGGTTTAACTATTTTTAATTATGACA